AAAAAAAAAAAAAAAAGAAAGAAAGAAAGAAAAATAAGGGGCTGGCACTGTGGTGCAGCAGGTTAACACCCTGGCCTGAAGCGCCGGCATCCCATATGGGCGCCAGTTCAAGTTCCAGCTGCTCCTCTTCCGATCCAGCTCTCTGCTATGGCCTGGGAAAGCAGTGGAAGATGGCCCAAGTCTTTGGGCCCCTGCACCGCGTGGGAGACCCGGAAGAAGCTCCTAGCTTCACATTGGTACAGCTCCGGCCATTGCAGCCAACTAGGGAGTGAACCATCGGATGGAAACCTCTCTCTCTCTGCATGTCTTCTGTGTGACTTTCTGACTTTCAAATAAATAAATAAAATCTTAAAAAAAAAAAAAAATAACAAGGCAGTGGGTAAAGCCGCCACCTGCAAATGCCAGCATCCCATATGGGCGCCAGTCCGAGTCCCAGCTGCTCCATTTCCAATCCAGCTCCCTGCTAATGTGCCTGGAAGACAGTAGAAGATAGCTCCTGCAGCCACGTGGGAGACCCAGAAGAAGCTCCTGGCTCCTGGCTTCAGATCAGCACAGCTCCAGCCATTGCAACCATTTGAGGAGTGAACCAGTGGATGGAAGACCTACCCCCCTCTCTCTCTCTCTTTGCCTCTGCCTCTGCCTCTCAGTAACTCTTCCAAATAAATAAATAAAATTTTTTTTTAAAAAAAGAAAGAACTCTCTCATGCTTAAAGAAAATGAAAATTAAGGTGTTAGCCCTCTCAATCACTCTTCAGGCACATATCAGAGTTATGCTACTATGCTTTCTCTTACAATACACACTTTTCCAATTTCCCATATAATATACAGAATTGGAGCTCTTATGGCAAATCTAAAAAGGACAGATTTTTTAAATGAATTTTATCACAATACTGTTTGGTATAATGATGAATAATTCTTGCTCATTCACTTTACTGAAGTATCCAAAAGTCTTAATTTCACCATCCAGAGTGCTATTTGTATATATCATTGTTAAATATAGGATATTGAATCTTAAGATTAATCTAATCAGGTAAGTAATATTACTTGGATAAATCACCTTCTCCATACAAATTATACTGACTATATAGGTAGCAAACAACTGTTGACAATATTCATTAATTGATATTTTTTAATTACCCTTTATGTAACAAGTGTTATGCAAGGCTTTAGGAATAAAGTAGTAAACAAGAGGACACTGACCCTGCTTAGAGCCTAGCCTGTGCCTTGAACTCTAAATTAAATGGATCTCTAGAATAAATTAGAGCTGCTGCATAAATATAAATGGTTGTTTCAAATTTGTATAAACCACAACATTGCTTATAAAACCACAAATTTCAGAAAAGTGTACTGCCTTCACTTTGGCTTTTATAATTTCAGTAGAACTAAAAGCTTTGTCATGTGTATTAAACAAAAACCATAAAATTCACCATGAAAAAGACACAGGAGCCAGCATTGTGGTTTAGTAGATAAAGCCACGACTTGCAACACCAGCATCCCATACGGGCGCCAGTTCGTGTCTCAGCTGCTACACTTCTGGTCTAGCTCCCTGCTAGTGCACCTAGGAAAGCAGCAGAGGATGGCCCAAGTCCTTGGACCCCTGCACCCATGTGAAAAACCAAGAGAAAGCTCCTGGATTCAGTCTGAGTCAGCCCTGGCCATTGCAGCTATTTAGGGAATGAACAAGTGATTGGAAGATTCATTTTCTCTCTCTCTCTCTCTCTCTCACTCTGCCTTTCATATAAATAAATCTTAAAAAAAAAAAAAAAAAAAAAGCAAGGAATAACTAGGTAACTAAAATAGCCTCTAACAAAGTAAACTGATGACAGCTGTAACCTTTCAATAACATCAAACTGTATTACTAGAACTAAAAGGTATTCTTTTCAACTTCTTTTTTTTTTTTTTAATGAAAATTTAAGCATAGGGGCTGGTGCTGTGGCTTAATGGGTAAAGCCACCACCTATGACGCCAGTTTCTCATATGGGCACTGGTTTGAGACATAGTTGCTCCACTCCAGATCCAGCTCCCTGCTAATGTGCCTGGGAAAGCATAGAATGGTCCAAGTGTTTGGGTCCCTGCACCCATGAGGGAGACCAGAAGTAGCTCCTGGCTCCTGGCTCGACTTCAGCCTGGCCCAGCCCCAGCCACTGCAGCCATCTGGGGAGTAAACCAACAGATGGAAGATGTCTCTCCCATTCTCTCTCCCTCTGTAACTGTCATTCAAATAAATAATAAAGTCTTTTAAAAAATTGTAAGCATAACATGTACATAAATAAATTAGTTTCAAGTTTATAAGCTCAAATTAGAAAAAAGTTAAGCTTACAAAGTCCATCCATGAATCTCATCTCTAGATAACTTGTCAGAAGCACCCTGCTCTTTTTCTCCGACCCTCCAGTTCCTTGGGTGCTGCTCTCTCTAGCACTTTCCTACCCTGCAGTTCTTAGTGAATGCTTACTTTTCCTCCAGGTCACAGCTTAAGCATCTCTTATACTGAGAAATTTAGTCCTTGGCTCCCCCATATCAAGCTGAGCCTGGAATATTAGGTATTCCAGCTGCAAATTCAAATATCAAACTAAATTTGTCAGATAATAGTGTAAAGATAATAGTTAACATTTATGGAGTACATACTTTGTGCTAGATGCTACGCTAAGAACCTCATGAGCAGACAGCTCTTCGCTGCCAGTTTAAGCTTTGGCACTTATCACCTCCCTTCTGATCTGTTTTTCTTTCCTCCCTTCCCTTCCTTTCTCTTTCAGTCTCTCCTCTCCCACATTCTCTTTAAACACAACTGTTTAAAAGTTCCTAACAGTGGGGCCCTGGACCATATTTGCATATTCTTAGCACTTATCCTTAGCCATGACCTCTGGCACAAAAAAGATTCTCAAAATCTGAGAATTTAATAATTACTTATCAACTACTGTTGCTCTCCAGTGACAAAAGTGAGAACACTTTCATTCTGGACAGTCCTAGAACAGGCAATGGCCAATGCTCAATAAAATGTCTTGGAGATAAATATGAAAAACACTGCTTTTTATTGTACAATTAGTATTTAAAATAATCTTCCTTACAGAGCTCTATTTACTACCAGCTTCTGCATAACTGCCACTCTGTTCACTTTCTAAGCAGAAAATGTACATGCTTTCATAAAACTTATTTCACAGGACTGTAACAAAACCATAATGGGAAAATGCACAGTAAATAGTGCTAGAAGGAGCCGAAGACATGAGAAAAAAGACTGACAGAACACAACAACAATTCAGTATTAGAGTGTGAACATGAAGAGATTGATGAAATTCTGAAAACAGAATTCAAAAGATTGAGCACAGAATTATTCAAAAGCAATGAGAAGCAAATCTATGAACTAAAGAAATCAATACATCACATGAATGAAATTTTTCCGATGAAATTCAGAGTTTTAAAGAGAAATCAAAATGAAATTTTAGAAATGAAGAATGCAACAGATCAAATAAAAATGTGATGAAATGCCTTAACAGACTGGGTGAGGCAGAAAAAAGAATATCCAAGCTAGAAGACAAACTTTTGGAAATTTTTCAGTCAGACCAAAAAAAAGAAAAATCAAAAACAGTGTTAGAGATTTATGGGATACTATCAAATAACCCAACATATGGGGCTTAGGAGTTGTTGAAGGTGTGAAAATAGAGAATGGACTAGAAGGCTTATTTAGTGAAATAATTACAGAAAACTTCCCCATTTTGGTAAAAGAAAGTATGTCCAAGGTACAGGAAGCACATAGAACTCCTAGTAGATATGACCGGAAAAGGCCTTTACTACAACACAATGTAGTCAAAGTTTCCACAGTAAAACATAAAGAAAAAATCTAAAATGTATACAAGAGAAACACCAGATTACTTTCAGAGAATTTCCAATTAGACTCACAGCTGGCTTCTCATCAGAAACTCTTCAGGCTAGGAGAGAATAGAGAGACACAGTACAAATTTTAAGAGAAAAAAAATGTCAACCCAGAATATTGTACTTTGCAAAGCCATTTATGAATGAAGGTAAAATAAAGACTTTCCCTAACAAACAGAAATTGAAAGAATTTATCACCACTTGTCCAGCCTTACAATAGATGCTTAAGAATGTGTTGCACACTCTGGCCTCAGAATCAGCCCTTAAGGCATTCGGATCTGGCTAAAAAGCTCATGAGAGCATTTCAGGCATGGAAAGCCAAGACACTGTGGCAAAAAAATGGCCTACATGAAAAATCTCTGTGAGATTTTGGTAGAAAGAGGCCATCAAAGAAGGTGGTACCTTTCTCTGAAGGGAGGAGAGAACTTCCACTTTAAAAACGGCCCTGTCTAAATAATAATGGAGTCTGTGGACTCAAAAGGCTTCCATAGCCTTAGCAGCTCATGACAAGAGCCTAGGGTGATCACTGACATCATAAATAAGAGTGTCAATTGTTAAATCAACCACAGGAATCACTGTGCACTTGCTCCCATGTAGGATGTCCTTAATGAGTTGTACTATGAGAATTAACGGTAAAGCTTGTCTTCAAACAGTACTTGATACTTCGTATCTCTGTGTGAGTGAAAACTGTTGAAATCTTTACTTAGTATAGAGCTGATCTTCTGTATATAAAGATAATCAAAAATGAACCTTAATGAAGAATGGGATGGGAGAGGGAATAAGAGGTAGGATGGTTTATAAATAAATAAGTAAATGGGGGTGAGAGGCAGGTATGGGTAGAAGAATCACTATAATCCAAAAGTTGTACTTCTGAAATTTGTATTTATTAAATAAAAGCTTTCTATAAAAAAAAAAGCTATTGGCACATTACTGAGGAAAGAACACTTCATCGACTATACGGAATATGAACGTTCCTCCAAACAATCAAGGCAATTTATGACAAACCTACAGTCAGCATCTTATTGAATAGGGAAAAGTTGGAAGCATTTCCCCTAAGATCCAGAATCAGACAAAGATGCCCAGCCACTCTCATCACTGCTATTTAATATTGTCCTGGAAGTTTTAGCCAGAGCCATTAGGCAAGAAAAAGAAATCAAGGGGATACAAATTAGGAAGGAAGAAATCAAATTATCTCTACTTACAGATGACAGTATTCCATATATAGGGAATCCAAAAGACTCTACTAAGAGACTATTGGAACTCATAAAAGTGTTTGGTAAAGAGGCAGGATTTAAATTAACACGCAAAAAATAACGGCCTTTGTAGTTACAGACAATGCCATGGCTGAAAAAGAACTTCCACTGGGGTTGGCGCTGTTGCATCCCATATGGCTGCTCTGCTTCCGACCCAGCTCTCTGCTATGGCCTTGGAAAACAGTAGAAGATGGCCCAAGTGCTTGGGCTCCTGAACCTGCTTGGGAGACCTGAAGAAGCTCCCAGCTCCTGGCTTCAGATCGGCCCAGCTCTGGCCACTGTGGTCATTTGTAGAGTGAACCAGCAGATGGAAGACCTCTCTCTCTCTCTCTCTCTCTCTCTCTCTCTCTCTCTCTCTCTCTCTCTCTCCCCAACTCTGTCTTTCAAATAAAATCTTAAAAATAAAACATTGGGCCGGTGCCGCAGCTCAATAGGCTAATCCTCCACCTTGCGGCGCCGGCACACCAGGTTCTAGTCCCGGTCGGGGAACCGGATTCTGTCCCGGTGGCTGGAGTTAGTTACAAAGGTGAGGCTGTATAGCGGAAATTGCAGGTAATCAATACTCCCTTACTAGGAAGTTACGTGTTGGAGAATGGGCGGCACAATCTCTCACGCGTGGCAAAAACACATATCTATTCTCATTTATTAAAGCAAAACCATTGCTTTCATTACTAAGTGAGGTAGGTGCTTCACATATAACTAGTTCCTCTGTATATAAGAAAGACATACTCTCAATATCTCGCTGTAGTGGAGGGGTGAGTCTTTCCCAGACCTATGCATATTTATTTCTGGGGAAGGGTATAAGAGCTCACACACATCTTACAGGTCGTATATGGTCGGGACTGGGCAGCACGTCGGATGTAAAAAAACCAGGAACTTCTATTTGTTGTTTAAAGAAACAAAATACTTCTCCAAACTACCAAAACATTGGGCTTCCTTTAAAAAGT